TGAATATTGCGTTGTGTTAAAGTGTGGAATAGTTGGTTTTCAATATTCGCTTATAAACATCATAGCGCACGGCGTGCCCTTTCTAATTTATTAGTACATAATATTTACACAATATAATGATCTGTCGGATGAGATAATTACCGTTACCGACGTTTCGACCCTTACCTCACCAGTTTTCTTCAAGTTTAATCTGTTGACGAAACGCAGTGAATATTCGGGTAGTCTCCAGCAGGGTTTTGGAGCTAAGAGTCGAACTTGCAGTCTTTATTCTTGGTTGAGTAGTTTTCAGTGATAGGCGTGACGACCATCATCCGTGATTCATACCATATTAACGAGCCTGTTCAGTCAGTAGGTTCTTTCTTTGAAACCAGTACAATCTGACCACTGGGAAGAGGGAGTGAGAGGGTGAGTATTCTTTCTATGCCCCTTGTTGCACAGTTCCCAAGCTCTTCTTTATTAAGCTTGAACCTAACCTGGTAGAACTTATTTCGATGAAGATTGGTTCGTCTTCATTATAATAATGATAAGAGACCGTGCTTAGCCTGAAGCGAAAGTTTTTGGAAGTAAGATATATTTATATAAGTAAATCTTTTATACATTATTATCCGTTTGCGACATTGAAAATTGTATAATCTTCTCCACAGAAAGTCTTGTACGATATTCATTATTATCGTAGGGTCTATTGAACTGATGCCTGTTTGAATGACAATTTATGATCTTCATTTCCCAATCCATTTTCCAAAGTAGCAATTAAAATCGACGATGCATTCTTTATTTATCGACTCGTTCGTACATCGCACATCATCATCGCTAGGGTGATAATTTAATACGGTTATTCGTTTCAGGTAGTGTTTAGGATTTTTGCCAGGATGATTTTGTTGGAGCGTTGCTAGTCCATTCAGAAGTAGAAAATAAAAATGGTAGCACAATAATGATTGCGTACTATGCGAAACAGCCAGTTTGTCTAATGATACAATGCTACCAACATTTCAATGCATATTTCGAGTATGGTTGGGTTATGCCGTTATACTGTAGTTGAATCATTTTTATTGACAAGCTAGCTCATCCAAACCACTCAGAATTAATAGTTTTGTCACTTTATAGATTATCAAAGTACTGGATAATGAATGCCTCTGACTCACCTGATCAGCCGGTTTCTTTCGCTAATGTATGAATTTATAGAAGCAACAACTCTCATAAGTCCAAGAGATCCCTTATGGCTCGCACATATCAGCTGCTGTAGACAGACGACATCGTCAAAAATTGCGCGCCGCTAACTTTGCCCAAAAATGACCCACGAATTACTGATCGAAACGTCTGAGTGACTAAACTGTTTTGTGAAGTCGTAAATTCGCTGATTATTTATTTCAGATACATTGATACCTTTCAGTCGTTCAGTTATCTTACGATTGTCCGTATTTTGTCTTTAAGTTTTGAATTTATTTTATGGGATTAAGTTTTTTAAGTTTTTGCTGTCTGTTTACAAACGTTACGGCCGGCTTTCTGTGTCATCGAGCTTTCTCATTTCAGATTCTGCTCTTCGCAACGAGTACTCCTCGGTACTGTAGTTAATGCAACTTCACTTAATAGTGAATTTTCATTAACATATAGTTGGGGCATTCATGTTAGTAGACAAAACACGTTGTGCAGTTACTTCTAAGTTTTTTACATATTCAAATTTATACTGTATTCTTTGTGCTACTTTATGCATCTGTGTATATTTTTAGATGAATTTGACATTCCCTAGCGAAATGTTGCTCTTCAACAGTTCCGTGATAAATGGTATGGTATTTCCAAAAATGATGTTGGCCGAAGTGGAAAAACTGGTCATTACGTTAACCTCCTTGTCAGAAATCGCCAAAGCTCTCACTGCTTGTAGGGACCTGTTTCGTGAAAGCAGAGTGAAAAGTATTCATCTCGTCCTGAATTTAAATGCGTTTATGCCGGATGCAGTTAGTAGTATTGGAGATATTTTGTCAGTATGTACCGAAAAACTAGAAGCGTTGACATTTTCGTTTCACTACATCCCTGAAGATTCTCAAGAAATTTTAAAACTGTTTGATGTTATCCGCGACATTCGTACATGCAGAAGCATGAAAAAGTTTGTGATTTGTGGTCAGAAATCGATACTAAAGGACGATAGCTTTGCTCATCTGATGGACTGGTTGTCCACTTGCAACGATCTTACTGAAATTTGTCTTGGTGGCTTAAGCGAGGTGACAGATTTTGCGCCCCTGAGTTCGATTTCAAAAGTAAAAAAATTGGCCATCTACGGAGCACAACAGTTGAGTGGGTCATGGCTGGCTCATTTTGTTGCTAATTCAGTGACCCTGAATCAGCTCTACCTAAGAAACTGTGCCGAAGTGCGACCTGAAGTTGTTCTTCATTTACTGGCAACCTGTAAAAATCTTGTTGCGTTTGAAGTGCGTGATTGTGGGCGGTACTCCGTCAAATTTTTTGAACGTCTCGTTTCCATGAAAATAGGTGATCATCTAAAATTTCTCAACTTCGTTTACTTTGCTGAAATGACTTCAACGTTGCTTCATAAGCTGAAAGAAAAATTTGCTTCCGTTTCTTATCGCCATCGTATTCGCTGCAGAATAGACGTGAAGAATGATGCTGAATGGTTTCGTATTAGAAGTGTTTCGCCTAAGCTCTTGGCTTGCAGTTCATGTGGCGGACTATAGATAAAAACTGTCCTATGCAGCGTCATTGTCGTTTGCATTAATGGAAGCGTGTTACTATTTTTTGTTGCTTCAAAAATTGTTAAACAAATTACGTGGATTGTAAAAAATGATTTGCATGTTAATGTTGCAGTAGATTAAAACTTACCAAACACCCAGCTGGCTTATGAAATCATTGTGCGATGAGGTGAAACGCGACATGAATTTGTATCCTTTACTGAAGTCGACGTTGTTGCATTATTGGAAGGCTAATGTCTTTTTCGTGCCCCCTGATCATTTAGTTCCATCCGTTGATGATATAATTTTACCCTAACCATTAGGTCGAACCCGATGTCAATCTAGGATTAAGCTTATGAACGTGCTGCTGACATTTCTA